TCCCCCTTCACCCCCCACCCCGGGCTTGCCCGCTGTTTGGGAAGTTCCTCGTTAACACGGTGGCTCTCGGGGGGTTAATGAGCAGCTCCTGGGCTGGTGTCGGACTGTGTCCCCTCAGCAGGTCACCCAGGGTACCCCAGGGAGGGTGAGGCCATGGGGGGGCTGGGGGACACACAGGACCTCCTTGTGCTTGGGGTCAGCTGCAGGGACCAGAGCCCAGCCCCCCAGGAGCCATCAGAGCCACCAAAGTGCGTCTGAAGCTCTGAATTGGAAACGGTCACTGAGAGCTGTGATTTTTTCTTTATTTAGTGATTTCATCCTTCAAAGTATTAAAAGTAAAACACAAAATGTGCCAAGGGAGACCCCCGGCTCCCTGGACCCTGGGGCTGCAGCCAGACCCCGCAGGCGCTGTGTGGGAGCTGGGACTTCCCCAGCACCAGGAGGTGGCACTGGGCCACTCCGCACAGGCTCCCGGTGGCCAGGACAGCTCGGGGACCTGTGGGTGCAGGGGGTGCCTTGAGCATCATCCCAGCGTGCGGCGCTCTGCCTCTCCCAGGCAAAAGTTGACACTGGTAAAAAACTCCCGAACTCTGGTGGGGACAGCGGTGCGTACTTTCTGGTGCGTTCCCAGGCTGGCAAACCCCCGGGGGACACAACGCTCCCTGGGGGGACACAGGGCCAGCGGGTGCTGTGCCTGGCCCTGGGGAGGGACAGCTCTGCCTGTCCTTTTGGGGTGCGGGGAGACATGGCAGGTCTCGGACTGGCACCATGGCACGCTCGGAGCACTGCTTTTCCCTGCCTGCCGGCCTCAGCCCCGGCAGCCCAAGGGGGGGACGCGCACCCCCGAGCCTCGGGCAGCCCCTCGGGAAGGGCAGGTGGAAGCAGCATCCCTCTGCTCGGCACAGATTTGAAGGCATCGGAGAGTTTCGAGGGTTTATTTCACACGGGGGACGGGGGACGGGGACAAAACAAGACAAAAACTTTACAGTCACCGCGACATATTTACAACCAACATCATCCCCAAAAGTCGCCGCGCGGCAGCGTGGGGTGGGCACAGCCACGAACGCGTGCGCCCGTCCGTCCGCACGCACCGAGCTCTGCTCGCACCGCAGCCTGCGCGGAGGAGCGGGACTGGCCCTGCCGCCGCTTCCCACCAGGCTGGCAGCACAAATCGGTTTTAAAGCCAGAGAGAATCACCCCCCTGCCCTCACCCCACGGCCCTACGTACCCCGACCATGCAGGGGCCTCGGGATGAAACCCCCCCTCCTACAACACTCTCTGCGCCTGACCCCGCTGCTGCTCCTCCGGCTTCATCTAAACAACCCCCCCCATCCCTGAACAGCACGGAAACCGGGACATCTGCCCTGAAAGGAGAGGGAGAAACAGGAGGAGATTTGACAAGAGCATAATTCACATTTTTTTTGCCCAGTCCCCCCTGCTCGGAGCTCCCCTGCGCTTTTCCTTTGCTAAAGGTATTGCTGTGGCTCCCAGCATCGCGCCCAGCCCTGGGAATGCCGCGATCCTGGAAAGGGCTCGTGCCTGCAGGAGGCTCTTCTCCCCTTTTTGACCGGCTGTGCGAAACCCGGCTGAGCGCGGGACGACCGGGTCCTTTGGGAGAGCAGAGCCACTGGCCACTGCATCCTGATGCCAGCCACGCCAGAAGCACTCCCGGGGAGGGAGCTCGTCCCCCGTCTGCACGGGGAGCACAGGCACGTCCCCGAAGCTGCGCTGCCTCTTGGCGAGTGGCTTGAGAGCTTCTTCCCAGCTGGCTCCAGCTCTCCAGCATCAACGGCGCAGAGGAGCCGGCTCCTCGGACCCTGCTGTGACCGCGAGCGCTCCCGAGGGAGAGCCCCTCTCCGCTGCGGGTCGGTGTGTGCACCGGAGGGTCCTTCCAGCGGCGTCGC